AGACCCAACCCTACATTCTCCAACACCTTTCTGATACCCTCCACCTTCCTCGACACCCATTCCGGCAGGTCAGCACGTAACTCGACCTCATCAGCACGGAAGAGTATCGGCATCTGACCATCTCCCCATAGGACACAGACCCCACCTCTCTCCTAGCCTACCACAGCCTTCTTCAGACTGTCCAACCGCTTCGTGTATTCCTCCAGCTGAGCATCGAAGCCGTCCTCGTAAAGCCAGTCCTCTGACTCCGATAGAGTCTCTAACACATACCGCAATGACAATCTTCCAACCCCAGCACGCCTACTCATGATGCCCGTCCTCATGTCCTCAGTAGTGACCTTATTCACCATCTCATCGTCCCCTCCCAGACGCTCTCTGAAACATACTATCACTCCATGGGTCAGCCTCGACAACCCCACCTGCTGGAGTATATGTAGGCCTCAAAGTCATTACGAGCCGACTCAGTGTCCTTCACACGCTGATCACGCTTGTCCAGGGCTTTCCCTAAGTACCACCAACATGACACCAAACTACCAGTAACATCAACTTCAATACTCCTTCGAATCGCCTTGCTGATCTCCTCCCCATCCATCGGCCTCGGATACCCCTGTTCCACTACCTTCTGGGAGAGGGTGACTACCAAGAAACCGTTAGTCCAGAGCAGCTCAAGCCCACACGTCTCACCAAATGCCTTCGACTTCACCATCTTCCAAGTGGGTTGCTGCTCAGCCTCATCACCATCAGCAGCAGCAGGAGCGGTGCCAGTCTTGGTCGAGTTAGTGTCCGTGCCTAAGCCAGACCAGCACTACCCCCTAGAGCTTCTATGAGACACCTACTGTTATCAACGCCAGGTGTCTCAGTAGCGTTAGCGGCACCCGATGCATCATTGGTAGAGTTAGTCTCCTTAGGGACCACCTTAGGTGCTTTAGGCTTGACGGTCTGAAGCGATCATCCTCTACTAGTCTCAAGAGCCACCACTAACACCCTAGCCCACCTGATTCCTCAACGTCTCGAAAATAGCCTGAGCCTTGTTCATTCTCACAATACCACTAGAGTCCGACTCGAACTTCAACTCAACCTGCAAGAGGAATGACCATCCTCCCTACACGACCAAGGACTTACCGTGGGCAGATCGGCGAGTGACGGAAGTTCGAGCGTTGGATCCGCAGCCATTGCAGCATCAATGATCTCTTTCCGCCTTAGTTGCTGCTTCGGCACAGCGCTCTCCACTCCAGTAATGTTCATGGTTTCAAGGAGGTTATCGTCTTCAAAGATGCTCAGCTTAAGATCGAAGGGAACATGCAACTTAACCTGTCAAAGACACTCCCCCAGAGACCGCCCTCAGCCGCCTCCCCTACCGCCTTCTTCCAGGAAAGCTTGTGTCCCTTAGAAGCCAGAACTTGGGCCCTCTGCCAGTCGCCGCCGCCACTCTCAACAGAGGCCGAAGGGTTCAGCGGTGTCAACATCACCTTGTACCTGATGACCATACCTCACCAGTGACGCCTTCTCACTGCTACTACTCATGCTCCGAATTCGTATCGGTCAACCACATCTTGCGAACTCGGAAGCTCTTGCTCGAGTTTGCACCAATCATAGCCGCGCCAAAGGCAATGGCCTCCTCCCCTGACATACCAAATATCGATGCCTACCAACCCCCATGTCTCTCCATGTTATATAGGCATGCGATACAGTTTCATCCGTTTTACGTAAAGTAGCGTAATACTCTGCGAGAAACCCGATTGCCGCGATATGCGAAGTTG